AGGTAAGAGTCAAGAAATCCACACTGTTTTCCAGAGTATTAGAAGTTCTTTTCTAATCTCTTTATAAAACATTTTTTGTGTATTACATCACCTTTCTTGAAAACGTTGTGGTATCAAATCATTCCAGTAAAGCTTCTTCTCAGAGTGACTTTTGCCCAAACTGATAGAGTTAAAAGATGATGTGAAGAAGATGGCGCAATAAACAACAGAGATAGAGCATTTGGTCACATGAGGAGACTGAGCCAATAAATAGAAATTCACTACAATAGGTTATTAATAAATATGCAGACACTAATATTTGCTGGGCAATGCTAGATATGTAAGTTTCAGAATATTGACCAACAGAAAAAGATTTAAATTGAAAACAGAGCTTTTAGGCAATAAACAAGAAGAAACAGTTTTTTAATGCCACAATGCATAAACAATCAAAATCCTACTACAAATGTGAGAGATTAATCTCACTGTAAAATGTTGCACATTGTCTGTGGTCCTTGGAATCTACTACCGTATCTGTACCTGACAAAATGAATTCCCCAAAGTATTTTTACGAGTAAGGAAGATTTCAAAAAGGGGTCGCAATGTGAAGATGGGAAGTTTGTGGTTAAACTACTGGGAGCGCACTCTGCTCCGTGCTGAAAGGGCTGCCGGAGGCCCCTGCAGAGGGGACAGTCCGTGTCTAATCCAGAGGCCGTGGCACCTCCGGGGGTCACAGAGCAGCAGACACAGGTCGGTAGGAGGCTATTCTCTAAGCACATTGCCACAGGCCATTTTAACCATCATTTTCCTTTCTACCTGTTTGTATCTATGCACAGGCCAAATATATCTTATGAGTTGTGAAGTGCACATATTTTTAAGCATGTACCTTGGGGTGCAAAGGAGAGCTGAGGGAATAGCAATAACAGTAAAACCTGCAGCAACAAGTGTGTGTTAGTCTGACACTAATGGGTACAGTATGGATTTTGTGTCATTTTGCCAGAATGGAGCAGGAGTGTCAAGGTAAAATTCAATTTACTGCTATACTCTTGCAAGAATATCTGCATAACAAAAAGGTCAAGTGGCCCAAAAGAATATCTTTTAAAGTCTTAGAGCTGAATGGCTGTGCGCAATCTACCTAGCAAAACTCACTATATTCCATCCAGTCTACCCCCACATTAAATAAAATGGACTATATTCTGCCTCTCTGATCTTTTAAGTTACTCTTTCTTTTATTAGAAAATTAGAAGTGAAAATGGATCTAGAAGAGATGATTTGTGACAGCCATGGCAGATTGTGCATCTGACAAGTGTAAGCTCTAAGAATAAAAGAGCTTTTGATAATTTTATTCTAAGTGACATTCGATGGGATTTAGGCTTCTACATTACTCAGACACTTTTGAAATTTTTTCCCCATAAAAGGAAAAAAACAGAATCCATTCATCAGAAGAGAATATTTAAATCCTAGCTCCAAGCTGCAACAGTTGTCTCAGGGAGGCTTCAAGATGTAACAGTGGCTCATACCAGAAATGACACAGCAAAAAAGCCTGCCAAGCCGAGGCAAAACCTTCCCTACTTCTGCCGCTCAGATAAAGACACTCATCCAGACTATGAGATGTTTGGGATCCTCAGTTTTGATGGCTGATTCACCCTCCTACTGAACGTTAATGAAGAATGGATCAGAACTATACTGTCTCCTTTTAGACCTGGAAGTTGGGATGAAACTAATAAATGTGGAGGAAGAAACAATAAAATCATGAAGACATGAAAATTGCTGAAAAAAATCAATGTGCTGATATTACTGCATAAGTGGATGATATGTTGTTATGTAGTTGGTGTATTTTTAAAATACCTAAATAAATTGCAATCCACTCTGACCTGTCTTGAAGGATTAAAAACATGCTTATTTCCTGCTGGCAACTTCCAGAATAAAAGTGCTGTAGAAAAAAGTCAGGTGGTGCAATCACATTTAGATGAGATGCATAAACAAAAACATTTATGCTACCCATAAAAATTTTAATCTTCTCAGGTCCCTTTGGACCTGTTTCTTGTTGCTCTTTGCCCTGTAGAGCTACTTAGGCAAGTATAGAGATGATGTAAGGTTTGGGCAAAGTCTCTTTAACCAGAGATGAAAGTCTGTGTAGGTGGAAAAATTGTTGATATTTTCAAACTAAAGTGTTTAGCCACACAGTTCCCATTGGAATTAATTAGAAGTGAGCAGATTATTCTCTCACCTTGCTTAAAGAAGCCTCAAGCACATAGTATTAATGAGTAAAGGGATAGGAGGAGAAGAAGAAAGTGAAAGCCCTATAAACTTTTTAAAAAGAAATAGTGTAAGCTGAATGTGTGTTGTAAGAGCCAAAAGATTTGTATGTTTTCTGTAATTTAATGCATACCAATACACAAAGCTTATTAAGAGTACTCAAGTCTCTTGGGTTACTTTCGAAGCATGAATTATTTCATAAACATACCCTGTAGCTCAAGGTGTATGAAGGCACACAAGAGGGGAAAAAAAAAGGAAGGCAATAAACAGCAAAAAAACTTGTAAATTGAAATTTAAGTCTGTAACATCTCCTAATTTTTCTCTCAGAGACTGGTATAAAGCCAAGTATTAAATATCAGCTTTATTACTTGCAGTATAAGTTAAATACAGATATACAATGGTATTCCCTTTCCTTGGAAATTCAATGCCAGTCATATTGAATATATTTGCAGTTCAAAGCTATGAAGATCAGGTTCCCGAAAAATGCCTAACCCATTAATTGGCCAGTCAAAAGGCTGTCTTTGGTAATTTCCTATTTCCATTGGGATATACTGCTATATTTTCATACTTAAAAGATTTAGTTATAAATCAAAGGATCATCATCCTCATCTTTAAAAATAACCTATTTCCCTAAAGGGGTATCATTGCCACTGGATTATCTCTGGAAGCATTCCCTTACACATGGCTTTCTATGGAAAGTGATGATCTCTTTCCAAAAGCCACCTCAGGTAAGGAGTAAACTGATGGATATTGCACTCATTTTCCTTGTTACTTTGAAATTCATGCAGAAACCTTTAAGTCCCAAGCCTTTCAATTACCCCAGTTTGCTTTGAAATAATTAATGTTGAATGGTCAATCAGAAGTAAAGTAAGACATTAATTTCAGTTTTCTGTAAAGAAAAAAACAACAGCCTCTGGTACTAGAATATTTTTACTAAACAAATTTTTTTTACCTAGTTGTTCACAGTAATAAAAATGAATGGGTTTTTCCTCTTAAAATTTATAAGTGCATCTAACCAAAATAGGGGAGACCTTATCAAGCAGTAGAGAATGTAAGAGTGTGTTCATTTAAGGTATTATTAAGGTTTTTTCTATTAAAAAAGGATTTTTCCAAAATAAGTCAGGACCCCAAATTTTCTTCTTCCTTTTTTGTTTTCCTTCTTTTCTGGAAAGTTGACTTTATTTTTGGAAATCCAGTGCCCACAAAAAAAACCCCAAAAAACTGAAATAAGTCTTACGGCTTTCTATGTCAAGTTCTATGATGATATGTATTATTTTCATTGGTAGAAGCAGGAGGCACTTCAGACCCTCCTACAGAAACATGACACTGTCTTGATCTCTGTGTCATGCTATTGTTTTTATTCACCTTTTGCCTGATAATCACAGAATCACTAAGGATGACTATCTAACTAAAAGGTAAATTTACTTTAAGGAGCCAGACATTCAGTCTACCGTGGTGGGTTCTGATGTTGCAAATGCAGAATGGCTTTTTGCAGGCTTTTAAGTTAATACAGAGCTCCTTATCACCATCAGTCTGTGGGGCCACACTTTCACAGATCAGACCTCTATTCTTCATTTTTCTTTGTGCACCACCATAGTTGGTTATGCTAATGAATTCCAAAATAATGCACAAGGAAAATGGGCAGAAATATGTAAGAAAAAGGAGCTAATCCTTTCCAATTTGTTGTTCTAAATGCCCCAGTTTCTTGGCTCATGGCAACAGCCTGTCCTAACCTGCATATGTAGAGAGGGGAAAAGTTCAAATATACCTGGGACAAGATTAAGACACAAAAGAGGCCAAATGTTGGTAAGCAAAATGATAATTCACTTTTATTTACTCTTAAGAAAGAGAGCAGGGAGTAAAGATAAGAAAGCAGAGAAAATCTAAGGATTACAGAAAGCAAATGACCATTGCCACCCCTGGTCAGAGCCGTCGCACTCACCTGTTCTCCCCACCCCATGAGGGAGAGCTCAGTCAGACTTGCTGTGCACCCAATTGCACAATGGCTGAGTGCTGCTTTGTGGCAGAAATGATCATGTCCCATTATCTGCAGCTGCAGATCTTACTGACAGCAGGGCAGTCCTGAAACAAGTTGCTCTTTAACACTTCTCTACACAGCCTTCTTGAGAATAAAGGGCGTGGATCGAGTGAAAGTGAACCAGTGAAAAGTCATTTTCATTTTTTAGCATTTCAGCTTATTTTTGCTATAAACAAAATTTGTTACACATGTTCTGTATTGTGACAACAATCTACTAAGGTCTATCTAGTACAAAAAAATTTTTGTAAAGTCCAAAACCAATGGCAATTGCTACAACACAATGACATTTATAGATAAGTCTAAAGGTAAGGAAAGCAAAGTTAATAGATGGAATTTTACTGCCAGTTGAAAACTGGAAGCTAAAATACAATTTTATGTTAGTCACTATTCTTTTCAAACTTTATTTAAAAGAAAAAAGAAATTTTATATTTTTAATGATATGGTTCTTTACATGCTGTGCTGGGTGCATTAAAGCCCAAATAAAAGACACCCCCTCTACCAAGAAAAATTTGTAATCAAATTTTATGTCCCCCAGATGAAAAAAAGGTGGAAATGGGCAAGAAGAATATACTTTACAACTCCAAACTTATGCAATATATTAGAACCGGAGGATTTCATTACATGAAAAGGTCAGTAAAAGGATAGACTTGATGAAGTGGAAGAAAGTGTGAACAGAAATGAGGGGTGTGAGTATCCTGTGGAGAAAATTACTGTACCCAAATAATGATCACATTGTTTTGATAATTTATTTCATCACAATGGCAGCAGTAGGTGGATTTACAAATGGAATCACCAAGGAAAAATCAGAACATTCCAACTCCTCCAAGACTGACAAAACTCTATAGCAAATTGTTACTGATGTCATCCTTAGGAATAAAAAGGCCTTGGTAATTTTATCTATTTAGATAAAAATTTTAACATTGACACATTAGATTTGATCTTGAGCCTGCTTATGAATACAAAAAAAAAAAAGGATGAAAGCAGGAAAAAGCATGGCACTCTAGGTAGCTGTTACACAGAGAGGCTGTATGAATTTGCCACTTTCTGGAATGTTTATATATTCTGAACATGCAGAGCACACTGCTCCAGTTTCCACACTAAATGAGCTGGCTTTTTGACCTCCATATGACCTTGCTTAAGTACTTTTTTCTTAAAGAAAGAAGTCTGGATGCCTACTTCTAGTACATTTAGTGGAAAAGAATCATGTAACTTCTTGGCTCATCAGAATTCAGAGCTATATGGTTATTTGCAACTCATTGTCATAGGCTTACTGTTTTACCTTTGGGCAACATGGAGTTTCCCTTTGTCTCTGAAACCCAGTTTTTAAAAGGGAGCAGATCCTCTAGTGAAGTTTTTGGTGAAACAAAAACCACTAGATACCTTGAAATACCAGCATTTAAAATGCTTCAGAAGTGATTAACTGTGGTACAAATGCACATTTTACTTGACAACGAAGGGATAAGGATGGATAGAGGAGTAGAGATTAAAAGAATGTGCTCAGCTAAAGACAAAAAGAAAAATTTGCTAATTCATGTATACATTTTGCATTGACATTTATATTTTCTCAGCCTCTCATGTATTTGAAATCTCTTGCTCGTCCAATAATCAAAACATTCCTTTGTCTCTCTATAGGTTGTCTTGGCCTTTCTTCTGCTTCCCACGTGTATGTCAAGTCCTAGAAAAAACATCACAGGCTCTAGAAGACTTCTGGACTCTTTTCCCATCTCATGGTATGATTTGCTGAAAAATAACAGAAAATAGTTTAAAAAGAGCAGAAACACCATAAACTACAAAAGAAGGGTAGTGAAAGTAGGTACAGAGAGACATTAAGGGTACACTGGTGGCTGGACAAGAGTGCTGGATCCAGTTCTGGGCTTCCCAGTATGGTAAAGAAATGGTAGTTTTGAAAAAAGTCTAACAAATGTCCACTGAAACGAGTAAGGAGATGGAGCATTTCTCCTGTGAGGAAAGGCTGAGAAAACTATGACTATTAGAAGGTTCAGGGGAATTTTACCCATTAGTACTAATACCTGCAGAGAGGGTGTGTCACAGAAATAGCCAGGCTTTGCTAAGTGGCACTCAGAGAAAGGCCCAGAGACAAACACTGAAGCACCACATAAGGCTCCAGATGGTTATCACGACTCACTTTCTTGTTCTTAGTTACCAAACACCGTCACAGGCTGCTTGGAGAGCTTATGAAGTGTCTACTCTTAGAGCCATTCAAAAGCCACCTGAGCACAGTCCTGAGCAATAATCTCAAGTGACTTCCTTGAGCAGGGGACTTTGACCACATGACCCCAAGTGGTCCCTTCTAATCTCAGCCACTCTGGAATTCCGGGATTAAGGAAATTAGGAGGAAGTCTGGATGTCAAATGAAATTTAAAAAGCACTAGCAGAACTCCTGCACAGAAGATGCACAATTTGTGAAGTCCATAGATTTTGTGTACAGAGACAAAGCAAATGTTTGGACTAAGATTAAGAGACCTCAAAGAGGTCAGATATTGAAGTTTTTTATGATCCCATGAGTGCTTCAATTAAAAAACCCAAAACCACTAAAAACAAACAAAACCCAAAAATATAAAACAAACAAAAAAAAAAAACCCAAACAAAAAAACCCCACCCAAACCCAAAAACAAACAAAAAATGAAAAACCACAAAAAACTCCAAAAACAAAACAAGAAAATAAACAAAAATAAAATCCACAACCCATCCAAACCCATAAACAAAAAAACAAACAAAGAAAACCACACAAAACTCCCCCCTCAAAAACTGAACAATCAACCAACCAACGAAAAAAAAAAAATAAAATAACTATGAAGAAGATATAAAGTGTAGCTATCAGACTCACAAATAGTCTCATGCAGTTAAAATTAGTAGGGTATCAAATGAAGTGGAAAATGACTGTTGCTAAGTGCTATTACTGCTCATAGCAAATAGGATTTTAAATTAATAAACATTAACATATTGCTCCACTGTATATTGTGAAATAATGAGGAATGCTGACATTACACACCCGTCAAATGTCAGATCATGGTGTGACAGAACGATTCCTAGCAAAGCAGAGCAATATGCAGAAGCCCAGAAGACCTCCACTGAAGAAGTCGTCCAATGTGAAATCCAAATGATCCCATCCAAACTGTTTATTCTAAAAGGTAAAATCTCAGCTTGCAGAAATAAAAAAGACTGTAACTACAAAATAGAACTTAACCTTCCTCATCTCCTCCTCTTACAGAAAGAGAAGAAGTGCTTTGTGACTCTCAGAGGACTGCTTCCCTGTGTTTTCAGTATGGAGATGACAAATCTTGTCCATTCACTGCTATTCCAGGGTAGTAAGGAATCTTATTAGAGTGAGTCACATCCACAGTACCAAGTAGAGAAATACTGTCTATTTTCAACTTGTGAAGGAAAACCTCCATTACCACACAGCATGTAAGTTCTTCATCTATTTCCCTTATCTGGTGCCATCATTTGGCCCCAGTCCTGCAAGCAGCTGGAACCTTGATGATCTTACTTAGACCTTAGCACAATATTAGCCTCAATGTTTATGAATCTGAAAGCAAGAGAAGCACCCACTTTGGAGCTTTGAAGTCATTCATGCAATTTAGTCCCTTCCAAAATTTCATTTTCAAAAAGTGTAAAAAATTAACACTTAAAATGGTATGTAGGGATGTTTCAGTTTTTAATCTATCTAGAGCAGTCTAATCTAATATCCAAGGTCACTAGACAGAAGCTTCTATGTGATGTGCTATAAGTAAATTCATGTACTAGTTTGCATCAATTTGTGTTGCAAGCCAATTGAATTTGGAAATTATTTGCATCTGCATACTAACATAATTTGACAACTTTGTCTGTTCTCAACTAATTTATTTTTTAACTTGGTTCAGCAATTCAGAAATGGTAAATAATTACTGCTTACGCTGCATTAGTGTGCAGGGTCTACTGCATTCAACTTTGCACATAAGACTGAGTCACCATTGGCGATTCCATACTGCGAGTTCTTTGCTCCAAAGAAGTTTAAACATGAAAGGATGAACAGAAATGAAACAGCAGCACTAAGCAGTAACTTGCCTCATTCATCATATTCATGTCCTCTCTGTTAGGCTCATAATGCCTCTCAAGTATTGAACATTTTTCCCCCTAACTTTTGCATTTAACTTTCCTCAGCTCATTTTATGAAATTTCTTTTTAACTTTTAAAATATCATTTGACAAATTTTGAGGATCTAAACGTTTTTCCAACAGACACGTTTGTTAAATTAATTTCTAATTCAAAATGTCATGCTTTTGCACTTCATGCATTCAAAATGTCATATACAAGTGCTGTGGCAGCAGACTATGGAAATCTTGGCTTGTGGAGGGAAGATGGGAAGGAATATAGTAACAGATGCTCACACATATTTATAGATTATTGTACATAGAGACAGACACACAGCAGGTAAGGCTAGGACAGAAAGGGATGCAGTAATTCTCTAGAGCTGCTGCGTGATCATTTAGAACTGCTGAAATACTGCTGGTTACAATAATGACCTTAAGCTTATTTTCCAGTATGGCTGGAAGTTCCCAGTTCTAGTCAGACAGTCAACTTTCTGCACTTTCTAATTCCAGATCTGCTGTCTCCTAATGGTGCAGCCAGCCCCGCTGCAGAGTATCCTACAGTGCTGTGCTGCTATCAGCAGAGCTGCTGATCTGCAGCAAGCTGAGCAGAGGATGCCAGGGAAACAGCATGAAACAGCATCTATTACTTATGGAGCTCAAGGCCATTTATTTGGCTTTCTCCAGCTTCTTCACATAGCTCAGTGGTCCAAAATAGCCAAAAAAATGCTCTAATACTTATGCTCTTGGCAATCCTGGAGGTATTCTCAGTTTTCATCTCTTCCCCCACTCCATGCTCCGCCTTACTTCTCCAGACTGGAAAGCAAAACTTCTCAATAACAACAGGAATATCTCTGGTTGTTGCTGGCAGGTGGCAAATACCATGAGGTATCTCTAAGTCTGATCTGCAGCCTGCTGGCCTTTACCTGCTTCAGTTCCCAGCCTCTTCAGGTAAGCTTCCAGAGTCTTCAGAGAGTATTTTAACATTAAACATGCTAATGTTGCTTTTAAATTTAACCAGTCACAGGTGCCACAAGGAACTGCATTAAGTTTTTATTCCTGAGATTGTACGAAGCAAATATTTTCAGGTTACACAAAGACGACCACAACCCATGGCTGAAGAGCAAAGAGTAGATTTATTCCATCTCACTGGCTGGAGGATTCAAAAAAAAAACAAGTGGAGACACATGCACTGCAAAGTTCATTTTAGCCAGGGGCAAAATGTACAAGGCCAGAGCCCTGCCTATCCAAGAGCCTGAAGCATGCACAAATCTTCACCAGGCTGCGTTCTACAATCTCAGGATGCTCTTATCTCCCTTCCCCACCTACAATGAGGCCCCAGTCTCTAGGAAAGGCATTTAAGTCTTTAACAACATCCTGTTGTCTACTCTGAGAAAATTCCTTTTATTTTTCAGCTGACAGAAAACAAACCAAAGCAAACACAAGTACTGAATTTTCTCACTGAGTATTTTCTAACATCTCCCAGGTGCAGACTTGGCCTTTTAAAAAAAACAATTCTAAAAACAACTCATTTTTCTCTCTCCTTACCAACCTTCAGTTTTTCAACTCTTTCCTCCCCACAGGGATAATTTTTAACAAAAAGAGTGTATGTATTAAAATGCTAGGAAGCTATTGTCTATGTGGTTTCAGTAACCTTCATGAGGATGTTTCGCTTTCAATATTCTCAATCTGAAAGAGAATCCTAAAATGTTTACTACTCACAATCTAACTGAAGATTTCAGAAAACCTATTCTAGAGACAAAGATACCTGTACACTTTTTTTTCTTTAATTGTATAGCAGTATTGCAAATTTTTTCTCTAGAAACTGGAGTTTTTAAACCAACAAAGAGTCAACAATCCAGAAACTGAGGTAGCTTCTCAGTCCATTTCATCACAGCCTTGAGTGAAAATAGAATTTAGCACCCTTCCCCTTAAATACAACTTCATGGCGGCAGAGAACAATAATGCGGACAGACAAAAAGTGACAACCTTTCTCACCTTGGGGCACTGCAAGACTGTATTTCACAAGATACAAAAAGATGAGAGAAAAGGTCATTTTTTGCTGCCCTTTTTTTTCCCCTTTTTTAAATATTTCTAGTCTTGAAATTCATCTGCAAAGCAAGAGAGTCTTACAAAAAAAAGAGGTCAAACACAAGAAAGAAAAGGAAAACCTTTTTTTACACACTACTCCCATAATTTTCATTATATTAGAGTTTAGATGCTAGCAAAATCACTATTTTGCAAAACAAATTGATACTGAATCACTCAATATTACTGCTTTAGAGGTCCCCAGTAAATAGTAGGGCCATCATAGCTGTGATTTCTCCTTGAATGCTTATAGTAATTCAAGGTATAGCTGGTGAAAGCAGTTTATGGAACAAGCTCAACAACAACAGCAAGCAGAAAAAACAAGCCACAATGATCACGATTCCTTCTGAAATGTTTAAAATAGTTGTCTAGTATACATCTTTTTATTATACATGTATGCACTATAATTCCATATTTTTGTAACATCACAAGCCAAAACTGTATTATGACAGGCACATAAAAAGAAATTCATATAACTTTCCTGGACTGCAGACCTCATCTGGCTCTCACATACTCCCTATCGGTTGTATGCCAGAACTTGTCCCAGCCACAAAAGAAGGG